CCTCGCCGGCTTTGACGCCGTCTACATCATTCTGACACCACCAGCAACGGTCGCGACGGATCGGATTCTGACCGAAATTGAAGGACTGCGCGTGTGCTACGCGTCGGCGCGGGAAGCGGCCGGCGCGCGAAATCTTGCGTCGTTGTTGTAGTTGGTCCATAGTGTATGAAAATGTTCATTGTCAACTCAATAGTCAACTCTATCTATTCGTCTATCGATCGACACGCTTTGTCGATAGCCCAGGCACTTTGGTGTCGACCCGTGATAGAGCGATGCGGCGCGCCAGAATCGCCGCCGTGTACGTACTCAAAGGCAGCTACCGCATACATCGACACCGCTTCGGCCTCACTGATAGCATCATCTGGCTCTGCCACGTCTCCTCGTTCGTAGGCTCTGGACGGTCTCTCTCTACGGTTGATGCAGCCTCTTACATAGCCACTGGCGGCGTACCTCTCCGAGTCCTTGCCGTGGCAACAAGGTACACACACTGCTCAAGCGCTGCAAGAAGCAGCACGTCGTTGCCGAAGTCGACCCGACACTTCTTGCGATCGCCGTCGTCGTCTACGGCCCGATCATCGCGTCCATTACCGGTCATGGTGCAGTCATCGTGCGCGTCTATCCGTGGATATTCTACTGTCTCGTGCCGGAGTCGCCGAAACCAAGAAGCGGATGGCGCCGTTCTGAGCATTGTCATAGGGCTACTGACGGCCAGCATTCCTCTGGTCTATGGTTTGATCGTCTGTACTAGTACGCTGCAGTGCTGTACGCGTGGGCGAGTTTTGAAGCATAGGACGCGGCTGGTGTCGTCGGCGAGCAAAGGTCAACTTCAGCCCGTTTCGCTTCAACAACGCGAGAACGTCGCGTTGTTCCGCGTCGCCCGGTCGCTTCGCATTGCACGGCAGCTTGCGGCGCGTGGCGGTTCGGTCCTCAGCGCCATGAACAGCCACCCACGTCTCAAGCACTGTCCGACCATTAGCTTGCGCGGCACCGATGGCTTCTTGCTCTGCTGCTGCGACGTTTGAACGGCCACGCTTGAGCCTTCTCACCTATTTGGATACCACGGCGGTACCCCGTGCATCCGAACCGTCGGAATTTGTCGCGCACGAACGATGGGCAGCATTAGGTATTGCATGTGGCAATCCGCAAGGTCCGAACTCCATGCACGTCCTACGCCCGCCGCCCGAGCCATCCCTGTGGTGCTTCTGCAGGTTTTCTTGGCATGCTCTCGCAATTCCACCAGTCTCAGAAATGGTTTCCTTCTCCTCAGTCACCAATAATGCCAGTCTCCGAAATGCCGTTGGCCTACGCACTGGCCCAGACGCACACCAGCGCGCGTGCGACGGAGCGCCCGTCATGACGTGGCGATCCATGATTGGCTCGCATAACGTTTCCTGTCCTCCTGCTTTTCGTCGCGTGGTACGGCGCAACCAATGATCAACATCGTGAAGCTTATTTGCCTGCCCCGTGCACAGATCCAGGTCATCGTATTCTCAAGGACATGAAATGATATGAAATACTACAAACAAAGAGGCTACCAGAATACCACGGACGTTCTAAAACTGACGAAGAAATGAAGCTATTGCATGCCCTTGGTAGCCCGACTGCTTGATTCCGCAACTCACGTCGACTACATGCTAGCGGCCTATCGGAGCCCCTTGTGAGATTCCTCTTGCCGTTCACTAATCGCGTCGTACGAGTACTAGTTGTGTGCTGAGCTGACTAACTACAGCTCTAACTATTAATACTACGTAGATCTACTACACTAATAACTTGTCCGAAGTCGTACGTGATCGGCAGTCGGTATCCATGTGACGACTTCAACGACGCACCGATTGCTCAAGCACGTTCGAGGTCGCCACACGGTCGCGGGAAGAATCCTGTGGTCTTGCCACGTACGGGCCAATCGCGGGGCTGCTTTCATTCACTTACCCTTTGTATTCTATACAATCTTCAACATGTCGCGATCCAAGCTTCGGACGGTTCCCAGTTTGCATTTTCGAAATCTCTGAGGATGGGCGACTACGGCCAATACATCGTCCCGACGGCGGACGTCATGATCAACTTCAAGGTGGGCCAGCCCGCCGAGACGATGCTGCCGCTGCAGCTCATCCGCGAGAGCGCAGCCGCCAAGTTCACC